GGGGGGGGGGGGGGGGAGAGAGAGAGAGAGAGAGAGACTTGAACTCGTCGATTGAAACTGTGCAGCTGAAGGGTCGAGGTCTTTGTACTCCTCTCTGCAATTAATGTTTTTTTTTCCCCCCTCGCGGAAGTGCACGCGAGACTCATTCCGCGCGAGTTCGCAGGTAAGACGCTATCAATACGATTCTTTCGCGCACACCGCGTCGCCGTTATAAAAAATACTATTTTACAGCGCAGGAGGCAAGCTCTCGTCCATGCAAATCACGTGCTCACATAGACGGACTCGCATTGGATACAAACGTGTAATAATCACTCGCACCAGCAATCTCTCGCTCGTACATACATACACGCAAGCACGCACACATCCGCTATCGAATAAAATATCATTGACCACACATTCTTGCACGAAATATATGTTAAACGGAGACGCCTAGAAAATTCTACAGGAAATAATGGATACTACTGTATATACATACGATGGAGATAGGAGCGGCAGACGATCGAATAGATCCAGCAACGGCCGTGTTCGGATCACTAATGTTTTCGCAGAAACGCAAAAAGCGAGATTGAAATTTGCAGGAGAGATAAAAAAAGCGAAAGAACGCGAGAGAACAGAAGAATAAGATTACAGTTGCAACGCAAGATTCATCACGCGGCTCCGTGCGATTGTAGCATTCGTATGTCTTACTAGCGGCGAAGTATAGCTAAAGGTCTGCTTTCTATTCTTCTGCACTAGATTGTACTCTCTTTCTCGCTTTCGCCAAATATCAAATGTATACCTATCTCACTTGAAGTTCCAAAAATGTACAAGTTTAACCACAGAAAATGGATCTTAAGTTTTACTGTCTTCGTCTTTTTTTTTTTAAGCAAAAAAACCTGCGATGCTCACCTATTCGTCCGCGCCGCGTTATTCGCTTCGCGGAGACGGAATATGTCGCAAAATTCCTCATAATCGTTTCTTGGCGAGCAAAAAATGTTTATGCATATTTTCATAAGTCTTGCTCACCAAGAAACGAGATGAGCTATCGTCTCGCACATAAACGTCAAGTATTATCGAATTAGAAGAGTTCATGAGATACGATTACATCTAAAAGAAAAGAGGAAGAAAAGAAGTGCGCCTTCTACGAATGTCGAATGTATTTTTTACCCGGCCCGCCGGTTCCACGCGTGTAGATTAGAACCACTTATTGTATCGTAATACGATAAATCGCGATTTATTGCGATAATTACGTACGCATAATGAATACTACTTCACTACATGTAACGCAACACCTTGTCGCGCGGAGGACTTTATCTATTCGTGAGGGTTCGCGTTTTCTTTTCTTCCTTCTCTTTTTTTTCCCTTTTTCTTTCACTTATCTCTTTATCATCAAACTGACTTCTTGTCGTATATAACAAATATTCAGTCGCTCTGTTATTTTCGCGCCGATATCTAATGTATCTTCTGGTACCTTCTTCGAAAATCACCGTTGTCACCATCATCGACGCCTTCCACGGATGAGGTCTGTTCGCGTTGTGCTTGCACTCAACATCTTCGTTTTCTCCCTTTTCAATGCCCAAATATATGACTGGTTTAGATTAAGACCGAAGTATAAACCAGGTAATGTATTCAAACTATCATTTTGAATTAAAACATTTTTGAAAATTTCAAGCAACGCGAACAGACTTAAAACACACAAAAAAGAAATCTATTTTTTTAATTTTATTTTTTTTAGCTAATTTGTGCATCGTTCATCTTTTTTTTCTAATATGGAAAGAAAAAAAAGAAAAATGAATTATACAAAAAGTTCAGTTGAAAAAAACAAGTCCAAGGTCTCTGACTTTTCTTTGTGATTTGCTACGAAAGCGATGACGATGGTGGGGACCTGTTCACGCGCGACATCGTCGGTTTTCTGCGTCTTACTGTCTTTGATTATCGGGAATCCATCAGGCGTTTTTAATTCATTTTTAATTCGCCTTCGCGATGTCTGTATGCGTGTACACAAAACGCAATTAGTGTTTCCGATGATCTGCCTAATACGTATGAGAAACCGTATACAGGGCATGGCCGTATACAAGAACAAAGGTAATCGATATTTAATATTCTTTTACGATCTTTTGCGTTTATACGAGCTTCAAAAGATATTTCCTATGCATCATGCATCTAATGCCAGCTACGCTGGGTCTTAAGTCTTCATTCTATCAAACCATGAAATAATGCACATTATCCAGAGCTATGTACGTTGAAAACGAAATGGACGAGATAAGAATTGAAGGCTGATGATTAACAAACTTAAGATTACGGGCTGATTACTTACGTTGCAAACACAACATTACCAATGTCAAAGGTAAAATTAATATCACAAAGGAAACTAGAAATTCCTCATTTTGCGCAATGATTTTTTTGCATCTTTAATCAGCCTAAGAACTTTATCCTGTATGCGGCCATGCGAATCAGACTAACCTTGATATTACAATCAGATTTATGATTTGCTTAACGGGCTGCCTGCTGAAACGTTGATGGGATCTGAATGACTATTCGGAGATCTCTCGAACGCGGCTTTGCGCGTTCAATAAAATTAAATTAACGTCCTAATGTCTGAGGCAACGCGCGCGTGACCTGTTATCAAAAATGTAAAGCGTTAGACATGTAAATAATAAAACATGCACCGTCTTACGATGGATCGAAAATGAATCGCGGATGATACCGATTCGATTTCGGTCAATTCGGTCGGTACGTTTCCTCACGGCATTCAATCAAACCAGGCTGTATTTAAGGACGCTATACTCGAATACGTGAATCTTGTCTCTCTAGCTGTTCGCAGTTTTCTATGCTTAGCTTCATCGAAGTAACAGTACAAAATTCTCGTAGACGGTAATTGCTTTTAAATAGTACATCGTTCTACATTGCAGGTGTATTTTCGCAACAACTAGCGCGACGAAATTCTACAATAATTTTCTCGAACACAATCGGGCAAAACGGTCGATTGCCCAGGAACGGACGAAATCCAAAGATGCTGACCTCTTCCGACATGTAACATTCATTTCACGTATCATTAACCGATGACACACAGATACGTAGGAAGAGGCTACTTATACAAGACATTCGAAATGTCTTGAAAACAAAACATGGATCTTCGTATATTGATATAATGAAGACAATAACGCCAATAACAACGATGATGGAAAGTTGTATTCCACGTGGACCTTTTCGAAACACGAATGTATAAGCGATGGTCCAGCTGTCGATTTCTTTCGTGACGTCTTGCTTGCTCCCTCGGATACGTTTCAGAACTGGTATGCCGTACAACAGCTATTCCAGTTTTGTACGCATAATGTAAATGCAATTTTGTTTTGTTGTAAATGAATTCACTCAAACAAGTTATAAACATCCTCTGATTATTATTCTCAACTGACTGCCTCTCTTCCGTTTTCTCTTCCTTCTCTCTTTACCTCTCCTTCACGAAGTATAGATTCTGGCATCTCGCTCTGCATTTCTTGTAAATTAGTCTTATGCATTTTCATCGATGGTGGGTAGCCAGAAAGCCATGTTGGTGCATGCAGACGCTAACATCATGTACTTGGGATTGAACTGGATACACTGCACCGGTGCTGGATGATCACCATTCAACACGCAAACTTTGTAACCGGTCTCCGCGTTCCACACATGAACCCTACCATCTGTGGAGCCACTGAACACAAATTGGGAATCCGGACTAAAACTGGCCTCAATGGCAATTCCCTTGTTGTTGAGATGTCCAGCAAAAGTCTGTAAGGGTGTACCATGAAAAGCGTCAATTAAACGAATCGTACTACCGTTAGTAGAGATCAAGATGGTCTTGCCGTCTCTGCTGAACTTCAATCCAGTCCAATCACACTCTTTCTCTTGCGACAGCTTGAAGGTAACAAATGGACCTTTATCAAAGCTACGTAGATCATACAGCTTGATACTTTCTGAATTGACTCCAGCTGCAAAGATAAGACCTTCGGGATCATATGCTGCTACTGGCCGTCCTGAGACATTCATCACTCCGTGACAATTTGGTGAGCGTAAGTCCCACAGTCTCAGAGATTTGTCTAAGGAACCAGAGAGGAAAGTATCCTCGATAGGACTGATACATAGTGACACTACCTTTTTCGAGTGACCAGGAAAGTAACGTATATACTTGTTGTCATGTAAACTGAGATAACGGATCGTGTCGTCGACCTTGGTACTGCTGTGTATCGCGGTGTTTTTTGCGTGGGTGAAGTGTATCAAGTCGACGCCGTATTTCTTGGAGTTGACTGTCCGTACCTGGGTACCCTTCTCGCAGTCATATATGACGATCTGGTCATCCTCCGAGCAGGAGATCAGAGTGTCGCCATTCGGCGAGAAATCGATACTGTTTATCCGATCTGTGTTCTCGCGGAATACCTTGGCCACCTTGAAGCTCCTCACCACGTGGTCGACGAGCTTCATGGTGATGGACGGCGCGTCCTCCCTCTCGTGCCGTCCCCTTAACTTCCTGGACTCCACAATCTCTGTGTTTGTGCTGTGACCGGGTGCGAAGACCGCCGGGCACGGAGGCCGGGCGTGGGTCGCGGATGCGGACGCGGCCGCCAAGTTGCCCCCTCGCGAAGGAGGAGGGAAAGCAGAGACTCGCGTGTCACCGCGGAGATCGCTGAGAGAGAGATTGAGGTGGCCGCGAATACGGTCCAAGTAGAGAGAGTCGGGACAGGAGAAGGGGGGGGAGAAGGGGAGGAGGCGGGCTGTCCACCGGGACGCGGGCGAGGAATCCCCGCGCACCGTCCTTATCACCGCAGATCTCTTAATACTCTCTCGCAATCGTTCACCGTGGACTCCGCCGACGTGGCTTCCCTTCTTTCCGTGAAACGGACGCCGTCAGCGGGACCGCCGACCGTAACACCAAAGCACTGCACGTATGTACGCGTACAAATCTTGCCAACCGATCGGCCGGGAAAATTTGTCGTTTCCTGCGAGTGTACTGTACCTGGGACTCGTGAGCGTATTCCTCGCTCTCTGTGTCCCCAATCGGTAGCGGTGAATTCGGCAGGAAAGCGACACCGACTCTACTTTAGTTGGTACTTTGGCAGTCCAGCAAGCGTGAAAGGCCGCTACGCATGGGGCCATTCCAGTGCAAGAAGCGTGTAGAAACTGTTTTCACCACGAATGCGCCATCTACGTTCACTATCACCGTCACGGAACTACGTGCTTAGTTATCACTCGGTCGATAATGTGCTCGGTTGATAATGTCGCGTAAAGCAAATCTATTTTGTTTTATTTATTCTTTCTTTTTTCAACGCTTAGTTCGTTTTTTAGACTGAATTTTTCATCTTTACTCTTTTTTCCCTATATTTAATGATATTTAATTTATATCTAATTTTTGAGTGTTTTCCATTTGACAGATGACACAAGCGTCATTCTGTCTTTGTTATTCATTGAATATCAAGAAAAATAAAATGAGATTTATGTCTCCGAATGAAAAACGTTCTATATCTCTTTCTTTCTCTTCAACGTCTAATTATATCTGTTTCATTTTAAGTGCAGGAAGTACAACATAATACAGCACAGTACAGTTACACAAAGCGGCTTGTCGCCCACCTGTGTTTACGTAAGAAATCATACACACAGTAATCATTTTTCTGGGTGCTTTTTGGTTTTTTTTCGCATAAAAAGGGGATCGTATTTTAAGTGGAGATACGCATCGATGGGTATTTCATTCCACGATGAGCAACGTTCGAAAAAAAGCCAATCACTTGGCGATATTTAAGCGACGGACCAAGAACGAGGACAACAATGAATTATCGAGGAGCATCATTATAGGAGCAAGAAAGACGGGCCAGTTAAATCTCTCATCGAAGGGACTGTCCACGGGTATATTATATTTACGAGCACCGCCTGTGCATATTAAAATTGTAAACTGAACGATGGAACGATCAACGATACTATCGAATTCGCTCTACGTTTACGTTCATACACGTCGCACAGTTATTTCGAGCATGCTCCAGTTTTCGTTTAGATCATACGAAAGCTTATATTCATAATTGGACGGACATGCATGATTGCGATGATAGTATATATTCACGTACAGTCATGTTAAAACCATGTTTATATGGGTATTTTTCAGCAAGATGCAGATGATACAAAGTAATACAGTGAATCAATAATAATAAATTATTGACAACATGTTCATTAGGCTTGTTTTTTTTAGCTAAATTTCTTGTTTGACTCATCTTTCTTCCTTTTTTCTCCATATTGAAGAAAAAAGAAAGGTTTTTCTGGATTAAATTTGGAAATATATTGACCAACATTTGTTGCCGATTAGGAATGTTTACAGAATATAAACTAAGAATAATATTACATCAATATATTATAATTTTGCAATAATATAAATGTAATATAACAGATGTTCGCATAAGAGTTACATTATTGAGTTATTGAATAAGAAATAAGAAAATAATATATTAATGTCACATGTTTTGTTCTGTGAGTACAGAATCTCAATAATAAATAAAGATGAAATGTCATCTGCATCTCTTGCTGAAAAGTATTTTAATTCATCAATCACACACAAGTCTCAAATACAATACACAGATTTTTTTTATATCTTTGTTGTCTGTCAATTATTGCTTGGATGTTGCAATAAGTATTCAATAAGTTTTTATTATTAGATTTATTTGTATTTAATATGATGCACATATGCATTGTGAATGAGAGTGCAATGAAAAGCGAGAAGTGCATAGTTGTTTTCTTATTCATCATTGTATCATGTAAAAGCTCTTTGTAATATATAAAATATCAAAGAATATGTTTTTAAAGTTTTTTCAAAAAATTGAAGCTTCCAGAAACTTACACAACTAATGGAATCTTATCATATATGTACAACAAATAGACACTCTCATATATACAAGGTGTTTTGGAAATCTTGTAATTGGGAAAGCGCTGATTTCTCTTGTTGAAATAAGTTAAAAATATAGAATAACAATTTTTTACATGAAATTC